CGTCTTATCACATACAAGTGATTGATTGGCTGAACCTTCACAACATTCCATATCAAAATAAGAGCGTCACATATTCACATTTAACAGAAGCCAAGCCATTATTGGCCAGAGTTTAACATTTTATGGCAACAGCATGTTTTCATTCCAATTCTGATTGGAGTATTTTAAAATACAAAATAAAAATATTTTTTTCACAAGTATGATTTTTTAAAGTAATTTATTGCAAAATCGCATATTAAAATGCCTAAATAGGCTTTTACACTTTCAGGAAAAAAAAGATCAAATGTAATATTAATTCGCAATTTTTATTGAGTTGAATATTGAAATAAGCAATTAATCACCATTTAATTGCTTATTAAGTATAATTATTACTATACATAATAATTATACTTTATTGGACAGTATTCACCTCATAAAAGTTGGCCTTGCTTCTGGCCTGTTCATGAGATTCTTATGTACCTAAAATTTGAGAAAATGTCGTGTATATAGTTTTTTATTGTAATAATTAGCACATAAATGTTAACCATGAACTATGCTAATTTTATTTTGTTTTTTCAGCAGGGAACATGCTGCTTAAAACAAAACTTGGTGATGTCCAAAAGTTTGTTAGAATATCAGAGCCAGATCTAAAAGAATTTTTGATTGCAGGTAAGAAACTGATATTGTGGAATTAAGATTTGCACAAGGATCTTTAAATGCTAATAATCACTAGATTTAACTGTTTTAGATTGATATATTGTAATATTATTGCAGAATGATGGAAAATGATAAGGTCATATGAACTAGCTTTGGAATTGATCAACAACTTTTCTGTTCCCTTTTCTAGTCACACCCTTAAAAGTTAAGATTAAGGCAGTAGGGAAATTGTATAAGGAAAGATTTTCCTGTTTTTACAAGCTGTTGTGTCCATTTTGTAGCATTTGCAAAGTTTGGTGTCCCAGCTGTAACAGAAGGTGTGAAAGTTGTCGACAGTTCAGGGACTGAATTGGATGACGATGTTTTTGAGGATGTGGTAATGAATCCCTCAACTGGAGTGTTGACCATCAAATATGACTCAGGTTTGTCT